ATTTAATATAATATTTATAATAATATTTTTTTGATCTTCATTGTAATATTTTTTAATTTTATGAAAATATAATTTAATAATAAATCGTATGAGTAACATTAAAAAACATAAAAAAAGTAAATATTTATGTTAATATAAGAATATGTATATTCTTTTCTTTCTAATTTTATTCATCTTTTTATAATATTTGTATTATTATTTAAGGTTTAAATGAAGTAAAACTTTAAGGAGCATTTTAAAACAAAAATTAAAATTTGATGTACAAAAGTGTTCGTTAAAGTTTATTTTTGAAGCAATTTAATAAATCTTATAAGCAATTAAATCTTGTATTAGATGAAATGAGTATATTTCGCATATATTTTGATAGTAAAGTCTACAGATAAAAATAAAACTGAAACATCATATGAAAAAAAAAGAATAAATGTTAATAAATGTTAATAAATTATAGGAAAAATACGAAATAAATAATGTTTCATGATGGCAAGAGCTAATTTTTCATGAAAAAATAAAAAAAAAAAGAAGAAATTTTTTCATTTGAAGCTTTGTTTTCGAATAAATCCAATTTGAAAATTTTTCAAATACAAGAGAAAATAGCTATAATTCTCGTTTAAATATAAATGAATTATCGATAGTAGGTAATTAAAAATTAATTTTTAAGAAAATTAAATTTAAGAACTGATTTAATCGACTTTTTGATCGTATCTTGACTAATTTAATCTCTATTTTCTTATAAACAAATTGATTTGACAAAGAATATTTTATTCTATATTTTTTTGTTTATTTCTACATACATACATAATCATCAATCGATAATTTATCCGTACCTTATCGAAAATTATCTAATTTCGTTCATATTTAAACAATTTTCAAATTGTTTGATTTATTTAAAATAGAAGTTTGAAAGAATGAAAAAAAAAATTATATCCTTTCTTTTTAACTTATTTCTTTTCTTTTTTTTCTGAGAAATTATCTTTATCTGATTGTACTATCTTATACTATCCTTATAAATGTACATATTTCCAAAGCCTATTTTTGTTACATATTTGATATCGATATTTATTATAGATTTTATTTCATTGTAATTTTATTTTGTTTCATGCGATAATGTAATAAATTTCTGTTACTTGTTATGTTACTTTAGAAGACAAACCAAAGGTGAAATTAACTTTAACATCAATATTGTGGCTACACTATATCTAACATAATTCTTATAGATTTACACTCAACTAACACTTAAACTTGATCTAACTTAATTGATTTATTACGATATCGTTATATTTGAATTTTCATTTCAATTTCTATACGAAATTGGTTGTTGAATTAATTAAAGAGAATAATTAATTATTTCTTAATTAATTATCTCTTAATTAATGAGAACTTTTATTTTAGACGAATTCTATATGAAATTCATGAGACATTTAAATATCTGATTATAACATTCTAATACTTATATACTGTATATTATATTGTATAAAATAAAATATCTATATTATGAATATATAAGAAAAAGCGATTAGCGAAAAAAGATCAATCAATAAAAGTAAAATTGCAAATATAAAAAATCGAAATATAAAAGAAAAGTTCTGACAGTTCTTTGTACACGCTACCGGTGATCTTGTTATGTATCTGAAACAAATGGACAGTATATCAGGTTTTTGCATGAGAGACTTTTAAAGAGGGTCGTCACATTCAATGCAATCTGCCACCATTGACACGAGTCTATGAAACTTCAAATGACGGTATTTACAGCTATTCATGTATTTCCATCCACGACTATATCTGTCTCGTATACAAGTTAATTACACGTGTACATATCTATGAATCATATTAAATCAATTTAATAACGTTAGAAATTACGATATTTATATTAATTCTAAGATCTAATATTTATCCTTTAACAGAAATGGTTTTATTGTAATAATATTGAGCAAACAATGAGCAGAATTTTATGTTTTGACGAATGGATAAAATAATGGAATAGAGATTTTAACATTAGATTTATAATTATTTGTGTATATATTATAATGTGTATGATTATAATTAATTTGACATAATAAATATAAAATGATTTATACAATTATGTTTTTATCTCAATAAGAATTAAAATTAATTTTTGCAATTTTATAATTGTGAAAGCTAAAAAATCAAGAATATTTTTATGGGTATATCATTCTTTTCTGCAAAAAATTATCTCTTTATATGATTACATATAAATTATTCTTGAATGATTATATATATATATATATATATGTATGTATAAATCACACAATTCACTGTAAAAAGGTTTAATAAAAAAATAGATATATTGTTAACAGAAATACATTTTTAAAGTTAACAAGTAATTCATCGTTTAAAAAGATTAATGAAAAAATAAATATATTTTTAACAAAAATGCACTTAAAAATTGACAAGTAATTTAAAAGAAATTTTTACAAACTAGGTTGCTAGATTTTATGAAGATAATTTTATTGCAGTCTTTTATCAGATAAAAAATTAAAACATTAAAAAAATATCATAAAATTTAATGGAACATAATTATTAAAAATCTGTTTTTGATTAAAATCAATTTTTGATACATAAAGTTTCTTATAAAATTAGACTTTTATTACTAGAATTATTTATAATTTTTATATTTTATATTATTAATTATCAAAGTAAAAAAATTGTAAATTTAGAAAAATAAAAAATACCAAAAATTAATGGAATTATTAAAGATAATCCAATCTTTGCTGATTAATTTCATTTAAAGAATAATTTCAATTTTGATTAAATTAGAATTTAATCATTAATCATAATTACATCCTTTCAGTATATTCAACCTAATATTCAATCAATTGAATCAAACGATCAAACTAATTACAATTCTAATCCAAGTATAAATTTTAATTGATTTGAATGCCCAATTCTGTGTTTTAAGAATTTCGAATTATAAAAACAATAAATAATTTAGAAATCTTAAATATGTTTCAAAAGATTCTCTAATCTTTCCTCCTTACACGAAAAGATCAATATTGAATATATTTTCTCTAACTTCATTCGTTCTAATCAAATCAAAAAATTCGATTAAAACATTTATAAAAAAAATAAATAAATAAATAGATAAAATTTCTTTCGTAAACGAAAAAAAAAAAAAAAAAAGAAAACGAGAACAATAGAGCTGCATCGATCGAGATTAAACTCATAGCAGCATATACCTGCATGCATACTAGTTTCATACGTATTCGTATAAAATCATTCAAAGTTTCCACCGAAGTACGATCACGGTTTGACTTGGAAGAACACTCAGGTCGGAAATCATGACGTTTCGTATTTCAGTTCGTAATGTGAGTTTCGTGAGGGTTGGCGAGTTCTAATGAATAGAGTTGGCACTCCATATCCGGAATAAACTAGAGCTTAATACTTTTTATTCTTCTTTTTCTCTGTCGCTCAAAAATCGATGTCTTCGACATCTAAGCGATTCGTAGCTTCATATTGTGAGCTGATTATTAATTAATATTTTTATTTTATTTAAATTTATCAAATTTATTTTTATACAAGGTATTTATTTTATATAAATGTAGTGAAAATCTCTTAAGGAAATAATATTTATATAATAATATTTATAATATTTATTCGGTATAAGAAGAAACATTATATAGTATTAATAAGTTTTTCTATAGATTGATGTGTAGAAATTGTATGAAAATGAACTTGAATTTTTTAAATGGAACTAATCGATGCAGCTCATTTCCTATAAGAAAAACATTAAGCTATATTATCGAAATATTTTATTTAAATATTTTAACTTAATTTTTGTAAAAATTATTATATGAAAGAAAAAAATATGAAGAATCGCGGCGGATACCTTGTTTTTCATATGATAAGTTTTATAATAATTTCTAAACTAATGATTTTTTGACATATATTAATAAGAGGATAATGAATTGAAATCAATGAGATGCTTCAAAAATTATATAATTCAATTTAAAAAAACAAAGGCCATCTTCACATGGACTTCTATGAGAAACTATTAATATTAATTTTATTAAAATTGTATAATGTATATTTCTTCTTATAAATAACTTTTGTAAGAATATTTTTATCATAATATTTTTAAATAATATTTTTATTATTTCTTTTTTTAAAGATATTTCATTTTATTTAAATAAAACATATACTCTGTATATGCGTTGATTTTCTGAAATTTTATCAATTTTTATACTTATTATGAAGATTAAAAAACATATATAGAGATTAGAGATTAAATAATTTTCCTAACATTCACAAGATTAAATATTTTATGACTAAGTTAAGTAATAATTATAATTAAAAAGTTTATCAAATTAGTTTTTAATTAGAATGAATAAAAAACAAGAAAAATAAATTAAGAGGAAGCGAAATGATTTGCAAAGAAGTTACTTCTCCCTCTCATTTTCTTTTCAATTTATAAGAAATTTATAAGAAAAGAGTATATATTTGTACTGACGACTCTAAACGCCGTCTTAAAACTTATGTAAACTGAAAAACTTTCTTGCGGTACTGGATTGTATAAAACGTTATTATAGCATATAAAATATTTGCGTACATACACTATCCGTGAATTCTTTACACTAAAATATTTGGTTTCCTCCTAAACGAGGTAAACTAAGAAGGAAGAAACGAAAGGAGAAGCTAAGTAGAAAAGAACACACAATTAAGTTGTTCGAGGTAACAGTTTCCTACTGAAAAGAGAAAATAGCATCAATTTGAATTCGCACACCAAAGAATCAAAAACTTTTACTCTCTTCTCTTTTCCTGTGAAAACTGATCAAGCTTTTATAAAAAAAGCTTCTGGAATATGCTTTTTCGATTAACAGGACAATTCAAAATTTTACTTTCCAAATTATCCAAATTGAAACATATAGTGTACCAGGGAGAGTAAGATCTAAGTAAGATCTCCTTTTTTGACAAGGAGAAGGAGACAACACTATTGGCAAACATGTTCCAGAAAGGTCACAATAATGCACACAATTTGTCCACACCTTGTGAGGAGGAGGTGTACGACTGGCATGAACGCACGATAAATCTAGAGTCCTGACCGCAAGTGCCCATTCCAAATCCTCCATAAACTAGCTACAACCTGCAACACAAACAAAGCCCCTGGTATTGATAAGATTACCTACACCAAAGATATTAAAATTACATAGCAAAATTACATTGCATTGTGCAACTTTACTAGGTCTACAAATTATATTTCAAAACTTCAAAACATTTTTCTCATTTCTTTTCTAAGGCAATAATTTTTCCAAAATTCTGAGGATATGCCAACAAAGTTTAATAAGCCTAATATAGAAAATCGTAAGATACATTGTATATTACAAACAAAACATTTTTTATAAAATATAAAATATAATAATAGAGATGCAATCTTGTGTCAAGATTGCATTTATAATTCTATAAATCCTAAATTGTACAGAAGTCACATCTCTGGATCATAAAAAAAATATCAAACAACATTATGGATTTCGCGTTTAATTTTTCATAACAGAAAATCTATTATGGGATGAAAACAACAGATTTGTTCATGCATATTTAATTTAATTAATAGACACTTGCATACTTGAATAATCTTTTGAATAAATATGAAATGAAATCTTTTCATAACTGTTAGCAGATAATTGTTAATTAGAATCAATTCTAGAAACTTAAATTCATATAAAAATTTTAATAACTATTAACAATTCATATTTATATATAACTATTAACACATCATATTTATTTAATGTATTTATATTCATATTTATATTTGAAAGTATAAACTACAGTATGATTACATGATAATATTATTGTATCAAAATAATTTAGAAATATAATAATATAATGTTATCTTATAAATTCGTTGATTTTTTTCTTAATCGTTCCAACAATATAAATTTTCCTTAAAAATTCTGTTAATGGTTAATCATTAAAGTAAATATACTTTGATTGAACGTTAATTAATTAATAAACAAGAGTTTAAAAAGAAAATATCGAATAATTGAGAAAAGTATTGTTGAAATGTTATTTCTTTCAATCGGAAATTGAATGTTTTTCTTCACGATGGAAGCTAAGAGAAGTATAGATTTTTCTTGAAAATGGAAACGAAAGTAAAAATAGAGAAAAAAACTTGACCAAACACTTAAATATGTTCTTTTTTCCGCCTCTTTCACGATGATTTATAGAAATTTTACATATTATATTTATATCAGTGAATATATGTATTTTATTTACATTATTTTCTTTTGTATTCATAGTGATCAATTGATAAAATCTGTTAATAATTTCTTTAGAAATTATAACATATTGTAATTCTAATAATTATAATTTGATTAATAAATGCAATTGTAATATAAATGATAATTTTTGTTTTAATCTTATTATATTTATTGAATTTTTGTATTTCAATTTTATCGTTGTTGTAAAAAGAAAAATAATAAGAAAAATATTTATTTTAACAAGAATTTTTTCACATTTTTTTCAAATTTTTTTTTTTTAGACACGAAGAATGTAGTAGAATTACACAGTATAAAAGATATTTTACGACATCAAATTTTTATAAATGGTACATATATAAATATATATTTAATATTATAACAAATATTAATTGCAAAAACATATTCATACTTTCCAATGAAATATTCTTTTATTAGATTCTTTATTTCATTTTCATAATATCAAATCTTTGTTATAACAAAAAATCAAATTACATAAAATAAAATAAAATTTAACTTGGATCTATATTATTCAATTATTTAAATGCTATAATAAATACAATGATGATAAATATAAACTATTTATAATCATTATTTTTTCTATTTAAAATATTTATTGCTTATAAAAAACAAAATAAGCATCATATTCATGGAAAATTGCAGAGATATTATCAGAAACTTTTATTTTCAAAGATAATTAAACAAGTTAATTAAAATTTCACGAAGAGGATTTTTAGAGTAGTTTATAAATTCATTTAAACGTTGCGCGTTATGTATTATAATCATCGAACAAGCAAAGACAAATGTAATTTGAATTTGCGTCACGCGGATTTTCACCGGTCTAATCTGATTACATTTTATTATCATATTCCTGAACATCATGATAAATCAGTACACGAAAAACAGATATGAGTTTTGAATTATTTTCAGGCTTAGTTTTATTTGTGATATGTCACAAAATTTTCTTTATATTTTAAATATTTTACATAATTAGATTGGTTCTCAACGAGACAGTTTCATTAAAAAATATATTCTCCTTTGAATGGTTCTCGGTATGCATGGTTTTCTATGCTGCGGGTTTCATCTCGGCTCGAAAATATACGAAATTAGATGGAGCAAGTTCAAAGAAATTAATAGGTAATATGTCACTGGCCTGGAAAGACAATGTCACAACACGCGAAAGAGATATTTTTCAAAAAGTAAAGATAATAACTAATTTTATATACTTTATATAGTTGTAAATTATATAGTTAATAATATTAATATTATTAAATAAAATTAAATGATTAATAAAACTGTACTCATTATATTATAATTATTTTCAAATTATATATACTATTTATGATAATTGATATATAATGATATATAAAAATATAATGTAAACAAAATATTGGTTGCAAGTAATTTCAAATCGGATCATTTCTATCTAATTTAAGATTATCAAAAATATTTTTTTAAGTTAATATCGACGAAGAAATCTAAGCTAATCTTAATGATCTAAATAGAATAATTATGATTCTACAATTAAATATTTTTATAAAGTCCTTTTTTCTTAAACCGTTTAAATTAATAATTGTTTTAATATTGAAACATATTTGATAAAAGGATTGAATATTTTGTAATAATCTTTTTAATAAAATATTTTTCTTATTAAATTATTTTATAATATCAATGCTCAATATTAATTCTAGTTTTTAATATTTTAAATACATAATGCTAAATTAAAAAAATATATATATAATGAATCTGCTTGCATAGTTTGAAATCATAAAGATCGTTAAAGTATTACGTATTTTTAGAAAAAATTTTGCAATTCATTTTTGAGAAAAAATTTAGAATTAAATTTTAAACATTACACTTTTATTTATAAATTAATACATAAAATTTTATTAATAGATAAATATAAAAGAATTTTATGAAATATTTTTTCTAAAATACATCAAATATTAAAAATTTTTGGAAACAATTTTGGAAGCACAATAATTAATTAATATTACATATGAATATAATTTTAAAGATACAATTTATATTTTCAATTATATTATTATAAAAATATTTATATAAATAATTCAGATAATAGTAACTAAAGTTTAAATAAAATAATCGAGCACTATTAAAATTTTGTTCATAAATGATTCTTGTTAAGATGATTCGAAATATATATCAATTCAATAAAAATGAATACGCAATCAAATAAATAAAAAATTCAAATAAACATATGTTTTACTATTGTAGCTTTCGAATTACGAATTATTAAAAAAATTCAAATATGCTACTGTACTCTGAAATCCCCCTTTAAAAAATACCAAATGTTTCTTGAATAATATCTTTTTATATCCTTTTTTGCATATTATTTCATATAAAACAGATTTTAAATGTTCTGAAAGTAAAAATTTGAAAATCAACTAGCAATGAGTTTATTTCATTTCATTGTATTCATAGATTTGCGAAAATAGCATTTGTTAGTACACGAAGCAAACATTTCGAACATTTGCTTTAATTATTTATAATTCGAGAATTAAAATATGATAACGGTTAATCTACTGGAATAATGAAAAAATAATTTTTCAATAAAGAAAACCAAATTCATAAGCTCACAAGGAGACTATGACATTAACTATAATCGATTTTGATAAAACTTTGCAAGTAAAAAAAAGAGAAAAAAATCTTAAAATATAGAACGCATATTTTTTGTTGCTATTAATTTCTATGTTCAAGAGATGAAATAATGTTTTAAAATTGAGAATTGAAACATTATTAGAATAATTTGAAAACGAATTGTAAT